CTTATCTGTACTATGACAGATATCATCAGAACCTTAATCCCTACTTTAAGAAATAGGTCGAAAATATATTAATCCAAGAGAAACAAGACCCATCCAATAAATATTATATGGACATAAAACTACTCGTCAAGGTCTATGTGTCCAAAAAACTGAGCTTTTTATCACATGGCTAACACAGGACACTCGAAGGAATGACGCAAAACACAGCGTTTCACTGGTTACGAAGACTTTACATAGAAGTGTAATATTAGGAAGTCTATATAAATTAACATAAAACAAGCATCCTGAACAAGAAGAACTAGCGAGGAAATGAAGTGGTAACTAGTCATGGCTGTTGGATAGGCTATAGCAAAGTGAGGGGAAGAGAGAGCAGGAAAAAAACGAGCATAAAAAGGAGGTTAAAGTAGCTCTAAGTCCAGGTAGGTATATCGCAATTTTCATGACATGAAAAAGAATAGCACATACCTAAACATGAGTCATTCCCAAAGAATCGTACACTTGCTTATTTATAAAAGCGAATTTCGGCCAACGAATTCACTTACGGTTCCTGAATTAGCTTTATTCAACTGCAAGTATGAAGAGTAAGGTTTGGCTAGTCCACCAAGTCATGGGATGCCTACCTATGATCGTAAGAAAGTATGTATAACAATGAACTAGTGTTGCAGCCGGCCACTTCTTATTTGGGCTTAGCATACATTTTGCTCTATTTGATAATACTAAATTATTGTTCTGATGATATCTTTCAAGGCAGTACAAACAAAAGACTTGCGCATATTCAGCGGGGTCGCAGGACGGTGAGTTGAGGGTTTCGTCACATCATCCAACGGTCTTCACTCTAAGGCAATCCTTTTTTGGTGTTCAGTGAGACCACTTTATGAATTACGTCAAGCTAACTTTTTCTTTGAAAGGGAAATTCACATCGTTTTATATCTCCGAAAGCATTTGTGACTTAGTAGCTGCATCTTTCCTAAATCACTTTTATTTTTGGTCCTGAAATGTATTCGTATGTGATTACGTTCAATTGCATTGTTTTGTATGCATGCAATGCTCGTGAGACCCGAAAGTAAAAATTATATTTTAGGCCAATCATGCTTCCTGCTCTTGCTTAGCGGCACTTCTTGTTCTCTTTCTTTTTCTCTAATCCTATCCACCAGCCATTAGTAGATAAGTGGAGAATGTAAAGCGTTAAGATGTTTGCAGGATTTTAGCCGGCTACATTTCTTGATTTTGTGTTTTATTAAATGGATATTAGCTCCTTTATTTCTAACCATATAGTCTCCATCTATAATTCTAATACTCATTAAGGTGATATTATTATTATTTAAGCCTAGAGAATAATATTTTTAAAAGGATAAATATTTTTATCTTCTTAACTCTTTAGCCAGATGATTTATGCATGTAATATTCATACTCCTAATAAGCACAAACCGTAAAATTTTAGACATATCTTTGTAAATATGGTTATTTCAAAAAGAAAGATACAATAATTTTCAAAGAAACCCTTATATTCTATAAAATCATGTCTTCGTATGGATTAATATATAAACCTTATCAAGATTTGACTGGTACAAGATTGTGGGCTCCTGAAGTTGCCCTATCTGCCAAAGCTTAGAAGAGCATAAATATGCTTGTAAAGGCAGCTGAATCTAAAGGTAAGAAGTGGCTATGCACAAGATAGAGAATACACATGAGATAGAAGATTCTAGGATACAGAGGTTTTCTGATTATGGTATGTTTGCTATTAAATGTAGAATAAGAGAGGCCATTACAATTAAGTGATTACAGATTATGTGGAATGTGAGTGGTAGTGGTAGGATGTCAGGAGAGAATTCCTTATGCTTGGTTGAAAGCTTCAAAGAGAGAGTATTAAGCCGCAATCTAAAAAAAGATGATTAAACTTGTAATCTGAGTATTGTTTCAACCTAGATCCACACTCATTTAACAAGCATGTCAAGCTCACTAACAAAAACAGGCGTATGAATTTGTGAAATTGCATTTACACCTCTGTTTAGGCGGCAAACAAATTATTCTCAATTAATAACGTTTTATATCTTATGTATATATACGCATAGCTTGATATCTTATCAATGCAACTATAGTTTTTGTATTGTAAGTAAGATTTTGAAACAATCCGTAGAGGATTAGAAAAGGGAAGTTCAGCGATAATTTAATGTACAATTTTGGGAGACTTGGAGTTTCAGCGAAGAGATAAAAAAGAAGACGCTTGGACGAAGGACTTTTGTTCAACAACAGGAAGAAACATCACGAAGGATTCGCTCACAAAGAACAAAGGGAAGTCAAAAACAGGCGATTGTAATGAAAAGAAACAAACCTGGAATCGGCAAAATACTTACTTGAAAGGTCCAACAATTTGAGGTGGAATAGAAAATTAAAACCTTAAGGTATATGTGGGCCAGATATAGGTCACCAGTTTGTGTGTGTTTGTGGGTAGTTTTTGTGTGCCTGGCTTTATGAGAGGTGGCTGGTGTCATGCTTGATTGTGACGGATACCAACCAACACACACACACACATTAAGAATATTTTGCACCCTAGGATTAAAGGGGAGTATTAACTTGGAAATGAGAGGTGTGTGCTTTGCGCGATTCAGCAAAGGAAAAAGGAAAGCGGTGCATTTTTACACCAGTGCTTATGAAGTTAGCCGGACAAAGTGCCCCAATGAATGAGATACAATATGGGTGGAGATGATTAAGGGGATAGTTGAGCCATAGGTTTGAAGCTTAGAGAGAGGAAGATTCTCAGGCATTGGCATGAACATGGATGGACATAGACATGGACATAAGGACAATCTGCTCTAAATACTCTAATATTTTTAAATCTATGAAGGGAATTAAAGGCTCTTGTGCAGTCAAATTGCAGGCAACCAGACAATGATTTCGGCTTTTAGCAATGATAAATTTTTATTCTTGGTTGGAAAAGTGAGGCTTAATGAAAATCAGGAGCACTGCATATCTGACCTTATCCTGGCATTGAAGATAATTACGCTTCACTCAGCCCACTTCTAGCGTCACACTCATAGGAAATATTAGAAGAAGTGGAGGCACAGAGTTGTGTGAATATGAAGTGGGGTTGAGGGTAAGAGGTGCAGGATTATAGGTAAGAACGATTGCCTAAATGTTGGTCGATGGGATTGCCTTTCATTTGTATTTTCAATAGTTGCAACTCTGTGCTGACGATGGCTCCTCTCAATGATGAGGCTGGAGAAACGTCTGGGAATGTATCAAATCAATAGTTAAATGCTGGAGATCACGCATACTTTGGTATAGTAAACAAACTTAGAAATTTACCACATAGTTTCCCTGATCCTCCGACCATTTTGCAAAAACGAGATCTAATCAACACTTGATTGCCTGAGTTTTTGTTAAAGATATCCAAATTATGGCCGATACTCCATACATATATTGTTCTAAACGCACATGGGCAGGGACACTCATATATGTTAAAATTAACCAAACCGTTGCAGATATATTTATATCAAATTATTTTTTCGCTATGAGCGTAGTTAGCGTATATAGCCAACTAACTTTCTTGACTTGTTGTGTATTTTAGACTTTTGCGCGGAAGAA